TGTAACCAATCACAAATTAGGACAAAAAATAATATAAGCCTTATTTTCATGTTTTATACTTCGTAAGTTGTAACCCCCACAAATTTAAGGAAATTTAAGGCACCGTTGCCAAAAAGCAGAACATATGAAACCAATACTATTTTACAACCCAACTTATTTATGTTGTTAGTTCATCCTCAGAATTCTTGTGAATCACACGTGCTTTTCATTTTGCCCTTTTTCTTTTTTCTATTTTGTTTTTTGGTTTTTCAACCACCAATATTGTTAAAAACTAAAGATAATTCCATTTATGAAAATGTCCATTGATGTTAAAATTGATTTCATGTTGGATGGTTGCTATTTATTTGAGATATATATATTTCGGATTCATACTTTTGACAATGATGAAGATAATAATATTGTTGATATTGAAAGTAGGAAAATTGATTTAATGTACTCTAGGATATTTGTTCGGGTGCTTAATAATTAATTAATAATCTTAGTTAAAATTTTATTTAATATAATCTTGAAATTAAGGGATACCATGGAAAAGTAATTAATTTGTGTGTAGTGTGTTAGTAAGTATGGATGGCCTATGGGTCGGGGGAGAGCCAGGTTCAGGAATAGATTTTAAACACTTCATCCAATTTGCAAGAAACACAAAAGAAAATCACTTAAAGATGTACATTTCATTATGATCTTATCATCAACATTGGGAATGACAGATGTCGTAGTGAGGTGGTTGCTGAAAAGAGAGGTCAAAGGGAGAATTATGGGTAAGTGAATAGAGAGTGAATGTAGAGTAGTCATGAGTCCTAAGTCCTCAGAAGATAAAGAAAAGGGAAAAAGGGAGGCACAAAATTTAAATATGATTGACATAATTAAAATCAAGACGAGGTTTAAATTTAACAAGTGTTCATGAATTTGCTTCTATGAATTTATTTATGCAATTCAAATATTGAGGTACTTAATCTCCTACATGCCTAACCAGCTTAATTAGTTATTTTATTATAAATAATTTCTCAAATCAATCACAAATTGATGCTCACTACAACTCAACTCACTCCCATAATATTTTTTTTTAAAAATTATTTTAATTATTCAATTTAAGAAGGCACATGGACCAACCTGTAGAGAACAGACACGTAACCCATAAGCTCAATAAATAATTTACGTTCATCCAATAATTGAAGAGCATATGATATGAGCTCATACTTGAGGAGTTGAATTGAGGGCCTACTAAAATAATTCATGTATTGAAACTATTGAAAGTACTTTTATTAGGCACTCTGTTTACTACCACTATATACTTAAACAATTATATGCAAGAAGATGAAATGACAATGGCAGGTTCAACTAAAAATGAGCATGAAATAATGTGACAAGTTAAACTAATCATCAAATCTATCTACTTATACATATAACATTGCCATTGGTACATTTACTTTCCAACTTCATGCTTTGAACTTCAAATGAGTATTTCTTGTCGCACATGATATGTTGTTGAATTTCTAATAATTTATGGTTCTTTTATATTGCAATATAATGTTAAAACTTTTACGATATTTACACATTGTATTGGACCACTAAGTGTGATTTGTCTTGATATATACTTTCAAAATACGCAAGATTTGAATTATGCTCGAAAAGCATATTATCCATCATGCATGTTGCAATAGATTAGTAATGGATGAAGTAAAACTAAGCTTTCAATTTCTTAATACTATTTTTGTTGTTGCCTCACCATGCTACTAGGTCGTGTACAAGCTAGTGAGCTAAATATAACAACAAAAATTAGACGTTCGTTATCTGATCTATTGATAATTTAGGGTTAACATTTTGTAGTTTATAAATTATGAATAGTCTATAATGCGTGCATGACGCATGCAATCAAGATATATTTTATTTTTGTACCAAGAATAATTGGGTAGCTTAAATATAAACAAGTAGGACTACTATTAGTTGAACTTTGTGTACGTAATGGAATCTTAAAGTTAGATTATTTGCACTTGTTTTATCTCGTGAATTTTACAATTTGGTATGAAATTCTTAGAATTCAGTGTTGGAGATATTGTTGAATAATATTCTCCTTGGTTGCTTCAAAATAAAAGATCAAAGTCTCACATTGGTGAGGTAAAGAGGTTTTACCCTCTTTATATACTTCATTACTCATGTTTATACTTGAGTAACTTGCGTGGGCTAGATATGGGTATCCCCTCGTGTGCCGCCGCCCGGCCCTGGTTCGTGTTCGTGACACATGATTCTAATTTTTTATGTAAACTTTCGGATAACGGTCACAATATCATCGTTGATATTATAATCGTTATTACGCAGATTTAAGCCTTGATTTACTCCGTAAAATATGTCAATCAATTATTTTGACTGATTATCTTCTCCAAAATCTCCTCCATTTTTTAACCGTTATCTTTGACTAATTGCCGAGATTTTCTCTATTAATCTTTCGGCTCTTCTCCTTTAAATACGGTTGAATTTCAGTCCTTGAGGAACACAGAAAAACACGAGCTTCTTCACTGCTTTTCTCATCTCTCTCAAAAATTATTAAACACATTATTTGGGCATTGTATTACTGAGTTCTCGATTCATCCTTACGGAGTACACAGTTCGGATGAAGTCGTGTAACCCTGGGGGTCGATTGCCATGAGTCCGTGTGTACGAGTGTGGGACAAATTCGACTTTAGGGTAGTGATTTCTATCACGCCACGACTTTTTGCTTTCAGATAAGTTTTAATTTTGTTATTAGCCTTCTTTCTAACATTCAGCACCTTATATATAAATGTTAAGATAAGTTAGATAACCTTGTAACTAGATCATATTCTCAATATCTTAATTAAATAATTAGGTGTTGGACGTTGTAGATTGGGCACATTCATTTAGTAAAAACAAATTAAAATAAGATATGTTGTAGTTGATGTACTAGTTGTTTTCTTTTATAGAGATGTTGAAACAAAGTTAGCCAAAGTTGTGATTAATAAAACAATTGATTTTTTAAATCGGTAGTATTATATTATTGTTCAATAAAGTATCTATTGAGTATATAAACAAATAATAAAATTAAGCTACTCGAAAAGCCACTAAAAAGGTGATATTGACTGCACAAACTAGGACATATGCAGGTTGAAAACTTGCATGAAGGAAAACATATATACATGTACATAAGTCACTCCTAACATCAAATTTTGTGATTGAGTGTAATTAAGCATACATTGTCAATTTGTCATGTACATTGCGATCGATGCACTACTGAATTACTGATGCATGAAAGTTTTCATGCAAGTTTACTTATTCAAAACTACTACCGCAAACTACGTACATGTTAAAACCATTTGTTTGTAATAATCAGGTAATTAGATACTAAAGAATAAGTCTTGTTACTCCTTTTCAAGCTAAATATTAGAACACATGATTTACATACTGTGATGAAGGACAAAGTACCATATACAATTATACACTAGTCTCTTTCAAAAATGACCTAGCTACTTTCTCAACAAATTCAACTTTTTGAACCATGAAGACATTAGCCCATAACTCTCTAGAAATGTGGCTACTTTGCAGATAAATATCCACCAACTTTGAAAGTCTTCCAATTTTAGTGGATATTGATTAAATGTAGAAAATATTACTTTGTGACAAAGTATTCTATTTCTAGTAAAAAAAAAAATTCCACTTATCAAATAATCCCCAAGTATAAACTAAACAACTTTCTTCATCAGCTTAAAAGTACGTACATATCAAACTTCCCCTTGTACTTAATTAATTACAGTATTATATTCTCAACCAAATATATGCACGCTAAAGCTAAAATGATACTAGCTAGTACATAATATAAGATGTTAAGACAATGTGATAACAAATTCCGGTCCAATCCCTAAAAAACGGGTCCTAGACATATACTTCATGGGCTAGCTAGTAGTCTAGTACACAGCACTTGTGAATAAGATGCAATACGTGACATGTTTGACTAATGACAGAACAGAAATCTGAAGTATGCATGGCCCCTGAAGTTATATTTATGAGGTAGTAGTAGTACTTATCTTCAATCTTTGATCAATCCAAACTAAGCCAAAAATTGGTGGCATGACAAGACATTCTCTCTCCAATTTTATGCATATGCTGCATGCAATGTTGGAGGCCAAAGATTCCAAAAATAATAAACAAAAGATATGAATTAAGAGGAAGTTCTTTGTTTTCTTGACCTTTTATATGCCTTATTCCTCAACTAACCCATGTTCCTAAATTTATATACTAGCACTATTTTTTGCACCTCCTTAGTTGGTATTTCTGACCTTTGTTTCCTCTGCTTCTGACACTTGTAGCTCTACTCATGTAAATTTTTGCTAGGCTTACAATTTCTGTATGTACTACTCTGTCTAAATTCAAGTGTTCTATACTTCTATATATTCCCACATAATTTTTCTTTTATTTATAATATTGAACTATGACAACCCTGCTTTAAGTATACACTCATCCATAATGAATGTTAACTAATATAATTAGTCGTCTAATAAATTTTTTTTAAAAAAACTTGAAGTCGAATTATGTTTAAATACTCACTATATACCTTTATGACTAAACAATAATTAAGTTGTTTTAACATAGGATTAAATTTCATAAATTAAGCAGAGTTTACATAATACAAACAACAATTACATTATTCAATTCATAATATTATAAAAACGTATGTGTTTTCATAATCAAATCTAAACATAATTGAATTGAAAAATAAATCCAAATAACCAGGGCCTAAGCGTTCCCTCAATCATTGATGTGTAGGCTTTTGCATAAAGGCATTTTGTAATAAAAAAAAAACAAAAATTCATAATAATTATTACGTAGTATTTATTCAATTCTTATATATATGTATCATACATTTCAAAACATAATCTTGATAATACAAGTATATGGCTATAGAATACTCATATAACTAAAGAGAATTATAATACCTAGTAAGTTTATTATAAACTGAATTTCTTAATTTATTTAGCATGATAATATTTGAAAATGTCGTGATTAAAAATTAAAAAATAATCGCATTAATCAGAAACATATGGGTATAAAACTATAAATAGCTGTAGAATACTCATATAAATAAAGAGAATTATAATACATAGAAAGTTATTATAAACTGAATTCCTAAATTTATTTAGCATTATAATATTTAAAAATGCCATGATAAAAAATAAAAAATAAAAAATCGCATTAATCAGAAACAGAGGGGTATAAACTATGAATAGTAAACAATCAAAAGTGTGTCTCATATTAATGCATAAGGTAATGAAGGGTATCTTTGAAAAAAAGGGATAAATAGTCACATGAGAGTGAACTGTGAAGTGTGATGCTCATTCTTCCATTCCCACTGTTAGATCTGACATCAATAACACTCCCTTCTTTTCAAAGCTGCTCATCATCTTCTTCCTTTTTTTTCCAACTAAATATTTATATTGTCTATTCTTTCCTCCAATCTTTAGATAGAAGCTCACCTAATGACAAATATTACACTATAGTCAGTATATATGTATTATTAGTATCCTTTAAAATAAGATCATTTATTTCAAAGTGTATTATTAATTTCTTTATATCCTTACCTCTTGGATCTTTCTACCATATACAACCAATACCTTATAATATATAGTTTTATTGTTATTATTATTTTTATTATTAGCTCATCAAATTAGCTTCCTTTCTTCTTCATTAGTTTATTGGGTCTTGTGAAAGTTCATTTTTTTTTAGCTCCCCAATGTATTGACCTTAAGCTTTTAATCACTTCCACTTAGTTTAATTCACATTAAAGTATTGTTTAAGCTTTAGGTAATCTATAATATTAGCAAGTGAGATGAGCTAAGCTAGTATATTACATATATGTTCCTCTCCCATATACATACACATATATTAGGAAGGAGGAATAATATAGACCTTTTGGTTTTTTTTTTTGGTTAACCTCATTTTTTTGGTATAATTTTGAGGAATTTTGGAAATAAGTAAAGAAAATTGAAGAAGATGAAGTTAAGTAGGATGTTGGATTCACTATGTCTTGCTTTTGATTCAAAGACATGTTTTTGTATCAATTCTGTTGAAGCTCATGAAGATGATGAAGAGTTTGAACAAGAAAGGAAACCTCTCTTTGAAGGTCAAAAGAAACAAGTTTTAACTCTTAAAGATGCAATTTCTGGTTCTCAAAGCTTGGCTTTGCTCATGAAACCTAAGGTATGTCCATATACTAATATGCATATTCATTCATCTCTCTTTCTCGAGTCGTATATTGCAGAGCAACTACATGGTCGGATTTGGTAACAAAGTTCAATCTCGTCTATATCATTGTCCTTTATGATCAATTGATATCAATGATCATACACGTACTTATATCATCATAATAAGAACGAACGAATGTTGATGTATTATTTGTTTGTGTTTGTTTAGACAGTGGTACTGAAGGTGTCAATGCATTGCAATGGTTGTGCAAAGAAAGTGGAGAAACATATCTCAAAAATAGATGGTATGTTCTTTTTAATTTTCCTAAAATTTCTTATCTTTTTTTCATCTTCAATGTTAGATTGTAATCTGTTGTTGATCGAGGATTGTAATACCAAAGCAATTGTTCAGTGTTGATAGCCTAGAAATACGTCTAATTTCAAATATCAAGATAGGGACCATACATAGTTTAGTAGCTCCTAATTACAATAAGATTTGGTATCTTTAATTTAGTAAAAACAAGGCTAATCTAGAACTACTAGTAGTATAATTAGTATGTTAAGAGTGGGCTAATTAAATAGTTAATTAGTTAGGTACATACAAATTTATGTTTACCCTTTGAAAAAAAGGGTATTTTATTTATTTATTTATTTATTTATTTTATTTAATATGCTATTCACTATAGATATAAATTAAATTTGCATATTGAATTATTGATAAGTCTTAGCCCATATATTTATTTGGTAAGGTAGGGTCCATCTAGGGATTAAGGGAGGGAAACCATATACTGTATAATAATATGAATTTTTGCATTTTTTCTAAATGTTGGATGTCATGCATTATCAATCTCACAATCTCTTATCAGATTTTGTAAATCTTACAAGATTTTGAGAGGAAAAAAAAATGTGAAGAGAAACTATAAACTCAGGGACCATCTGATAGCTTCTTTTATATATCGAGTATATAAATCTCTTGATTGTACAACTTATAAGAATGGCTTATGATATATACTAACTTGTTGAACATTCTTTGTCTCCTCCAAACACCAAATTTAGGAGTGATGTCTTACAAAGTAGACTTGGAAAGCAAAATGGTGGTGGTAATTGGTGATATCCTCCCTTTTGAGGTATTGGAGAGTATTTCCAAGGTTAAAAATGCCCAACTTTGGACTTTTGGCATCTAATAATAACCACACAAGAGCAAGGATCACAAACAAGAGGAGAAGGATTATGAAGAAGATCAAAGTATATTGTACATTTAATATTTTTGTGACCCTTGATTAATTAAGCTATATTACTACTTAATTATGGCATATAATATGATTTGTGTTATAAACGGAACTGCGGGAACAAAAACAGTAAGAACAAAGTTACCGAAAAATAGACTGAGTCGCGGACTATGTCGCTTTCTTTAGAACATTCACGGCACTGCCCTGAAATGGTGCAAGCAGTTCGTACTAAACCGGATGTTCCCCAGGATAAAACAGCCTTTCTCTATTGAAATTATACCGGTGGAACTGCACAAAACCACCGGGCAACTAAACACCCAAAAAGAAAAGAAACTGCTCGAGGGTTTTGTTTTTGTGAGGAAAAATAGAGAGGAGAAGAAGATTGCTGTTCGTATATTTTTGTGTATCAAAAACAGGAAATCAACACGCCTTTTATAGGAAAAATTGCAACGTAACTGCTGCTGTTTAATTAGGCACTAATCACGCAATTAAAACGGTCATAAGTTGAACGTTCAAAACGGTTACAGAAGATTAATGCGTGGCAAAACGTTTAGCAAAAAATCAGTGAAAACGTTTGCATGATTAACGCTCCATTAATCAGTTTTGAATAAAAACGGTCAAATGCAATCAGTCAAAAACGTTTAGCAAAAATCAAGGAACTAATCACGCAATTAGCCTTGTCCAAAAAATAAGTTTATTTAATAAACCCGACCCGACCCGACCCGACCCAACCCAACCCGGCCCGGCTCGGCTCGGTTCGGTTCGGCGCGCGTGTGTGTGATAGATGGTTTACCATATAGGTCCTCCCTCTCCACAAAATGTGGGTAGCCCAAGGGCCACACCCCTTTAGCCCACTCTCTATATTATAAAGAGAGTAAAACTCTCATTTCCCACCAATGTGGGACTTTGAGTTTTTCACAAAATTCACACACTACACACTTGTTGTTCACAAAATTCACACACTACACACTTGTTGTTCCAACAATCCCCCACTTGAATTTTTTTGAAAACATTTTCGAGCAGAATCCATACATATATAGGTTGCGCATAAACAGAAGTGTTTTTCAACTTGAACTTCGACGTAGTGAGTACGATTCAGATTCAACAAGGGTGACTCGAAGTTTTGAACCCTATCTCTGACAACGTACCCCACACAACCTACTCTTGGTGTTGTTCTAGACCCGTGCTATTTCGGCCATGCACGTCTATCCCAGTGTAGTGAATGCTCTAGAAATGCTGCCACACATTTCATAGGAAGCGGCCTAACTTCCACATTCACATAGGTGAATCTATCAAGAGTACTCCTGTAGCTTGGTACTCCACTCCAAATTGGAGTATAGATTTCATTAAGAGTTCCTATTAACTCATCCTTGATCGCTTCAGGAAATTATGTCTTTTGAACATATTCAACTCATAACACACCATAACTTGTTATTACCCTTTGAACCTATTTCTTGGGATCTCCAGTTCATAGGTTGGGTTACCATTATGTGTGGTTCATTTCAATGGCAATAGTCCCATTTTCTTAGAAGAAAAATGGACTTTCTCCCTAGCTAATCCTTTCGTCAAAGGATCAGCCAAGTTATTCTCAGTGCGTACGTGATCCACTCTAACAGCTCCGATAGAGAGATATTCTCTCACAGTGCTGTGCTTACGACGTATTTGTCGTCTCTTACCGTTGTAATAACGGTTCTGAACTTTTGCAATAGCCGCGGTACTATCGCAATGGATCAAGACAGCCGGTAATGGCTTTTCCCATAGGGGAATTTCACCTAGCAGGCCTCTTAACCAACCTGCTTCTTCACTAGCCGTAGCTAGTGCTATCATTTCTGACTCCATGGTGGACTGAGCCAAAATAGTCTGTTTCTTAGACTTCCAAGATACAGCTCCACCGGCTATAGAAAAAATATATCCACTAGTAGCCTTAGAGTCATCTGATAAGGTGTTCCAGTCAGCATCACTATAGCCTTCTAGTACAGCTGGAAACCTTTCATAATGCAACCCTAGGTTCATGGTCCTCTTAAGGTATCTCATGACCCTTTCAATAGCATGCCAATGCTCATTACCAGGACAACTAGTAAACCTGCCTAACAATCCCACGACATAGGCAATGTCGGGTCTAGTACAATCAGTGGCATACCGAAGGCTGCCAATGATGCTCGCATAATCCGATTGCCTTACGGCATCACCAGTGTTCTTAAATAATTTAACACTGGAATCATAAGGTGTACTAGCAGGTTTACAGTCAAAGTAACTATATTTCTTTAGGATCTTCTCAATGTAATGAGATTGATCCAAAGAAACTCCATTTTCTGTCCTAGTAATCTTAATTCCAAGGATTACATTAGCCTCTCCTAGGTCTTTCATATCAAACTCAGCATTCAACAATAGCTTTACATCATTCACAGCATGAATGTTCGAGCCAAAAATTAACAAGTCATCCACATATAGACAAATTATAGTGCATATGTCATTCTCAAATTTTACATATATGCATTTGTCACTACCATTTATCTTAAAACCATGTGAGATGACTAAGTTATCAAATTTTTCATGCCATTGTTTAGGTGCTTGTTTGAGACCATAAAGAGATTTATCTAGCTTACATACCAGATGCTCTTTTCCTTGAACAACGAATCCTTCCGGTTGATCCATGTAGATTTCTTCTTCCAATTCACCGTTCAAGAATGCAGTCTTCACATCCATTTGATGTACTACAAGATTAAAAACAGAAGCAAGAGATATTAATACTCTAATAGATGTTACTCTAGTTACAGGTGAATAGGTATCAAAGAAATCAACATTCTCCCTTTGTCTGTAGCCTTTAGCTACTAAACGGGCTTTGAACTTATCAATGGTCCCATCAACTTTCAGCTTTCTTTTTAGGACCCATTTGCAACCAATTGACTTGCAACCTGGTGGCAACTCAGTTAGATGCCAAGTTCGATTAGACTCAAGTGAGTCCATTTCGTCGTTCACGGCTTCTTGCCATAAATCTGCATCCACTGAGGTTAGAGCTTCTTGGAGGGTAGAAGGATCCTCCTCTACATTCAGAACTACAAAGTCTGGGCCGAAGTCTTTTGCTACTCTAGCCCGCTTGCTCTTTCTTAGTTCGGGTTCAGCATCCAAGTCTTGTGAGTTAGACCTGTCTTTAGGAATAATAGAGGAGGACGTGCCCCCACTATTTCTAGATTTAAAAGGAAACCTGTCCTCATAAAAATCAACATCATTAGATTCAATAATTACACGAGCATTTAAATCAAAGAATCTATATGCCTTACTGTTAATAGCATATCCAATGAATACGCATTCATAAGCTCTACTAGCTAATTTGACTCTTTTAGGATCAGGAATCCTAACATATGCTAGACAACCCCAAGTTCTGAAATAAGAAATGTTAGGTCGTTTATTACGAAGTATTTCATAGGGAGAAACCTTACTCTTAGTCTTTGGAATACGATTTAAGACATAACAAACAGTTAGTAGAATTTCACCCCACCAATGATCAGCAGCACCAGAATATAAGGAAATAGCAACTACTAATTCTGTAAAGGTCCTATTTTTCCTTTCAGCCTTTCCATTCATTTCTGGGGAATAAGGAGCTGTCCTTTCATGTATGATACCATGTGAATTATAAAATTCTACAAAAGCATCAGTACCATACTCAGTTCCACGATCACTTCGTAATCTTTTTATTTTCTTGTTAAACTGATTCTCAAATTCTGTTATAAACAACTTAAACATTTCAAAAGCATCACTCTTATTTTTCATCAAATAAATACAAGTATAATCAGAACAATCATCAATAAAGGTGATAAAGTATCGTTGTCCATTTCTGGTCAACGTCCCATTTAGTTCACAAATATCCGAATGAATTAAGTCTAATGGTTCTGAATTTCTAATCACTGATTTATGAGGAGTTTTTGTAATCTTAGCCTGACTACAAGAATCACATTTGTCAAAGTCATTGAGAGAGATATTTGGAATAAGGCCTAAATTGCTCATATTTTTTATGAGTCTTTTGTTCACATGACAAAGTCTAGTATGCCAAACATTAATAGTAGAACACAACATATAAGCAGAATTAGAAATTTTATTAACTTCAACATTCAGTTTGAACATGCCATCAGTAGCATATCCTTTTCCTACAAATATTCCATTCTTAGTTAAAGTAAACAAATCAGAACCTATGGTTTGTATAAAACCAGCCTTATTAAGCAAAAAACCAGAAACTAAATTCTTCCTCATTTCCGGAGTGTGTAACACATCTTTCAGAATGAGAGTCCTGCCAGAAGTAAACTTCAACTCAACATTTCCAACACCAGCAATGTTAGTGGAATGGGAATCACCCAACAATACTTTCTTATCATCGGTCTTTTCAGTGTATGTTTTAAACATTCGACGATCATAACAGACATGGCGTGTGGCACCAGTGTCTATCCACCACCCATCTGATCCACCAGTAAGGTTGATCTCAGTAATCATAGCCACAAAAGGCTCTTCAATCATGCTAGCCTGCGCTGGCACAGGGTTAGGCATGTTCCTGCACTTTCGTGCCATATGGCCTGGTTTTCCACACCGATAGCACAGAAATTGACCAGTACCATTCTTAGGGGGTTGTGACTGTTGTCTTCCATTGTTCTTTTGAACATTCGGTTTATTGAAGTTATTCTTCCGGTTCTGAGGTTTGAAATTCTTACCAGCAGGTTTAAGTACTGCAGCAGATCGCCTAGGAGCATTATTAGCAGAGATTTGTAAAATCTCTTCCTTTAGATCCTGTTTTCTGGATTCTTCTTCTATACGTAGCCGAGTGATCAAACTCTCTAAGGAGAATTCCTTAGTCTTATGCCTGAGATTATTTTTGAAATCTTTCCAGGAAGGAGGCAACTTGTCAATAATAACAGCAATTTGAAATTGTTCATCAAGGGCCATACCTTCGGAAATTATCTCATGGGCAATTTTCTGAAGGTCGTGAGACTGCACTTCCACGGACTTATCATCAGTCATCTGGAATTTTAGGTACCTACTGACAGCATACTTTTTGGCACCTGCTTCTTCAGTATCATACTTTTTTTGTAGGGCATCCCACAAATCCTTAGCAGTATTTTCCATATTATAATAGTCATAGAGGTTATCAGACAGACCATTAAGTATATAGTTTTTGCACACGAAGTCAGTTTCATTCCAGGTTTCGATTTCACTATTCAAGTAAGCTAATTCATCTTCAGGAGCATTATCAGGAATAAATGGCCGAGGGGCTGTTAAGGCAGAATTAACTTTTTTGACAGTTAAGAAAAATTGCATTTTTTGTTTCCATCTTTTAAAGTGAGCTCCTTCAAAACGGAAGGGCTTGTTAAGGTCAGCAGACATAGTAATATCTTCGGTAGACATATGGTTCTTACAGGCAGAAAAAGAATGTTCTAAAATTGTTATAAACGGAACTGCGGGAACAAAAACAGTAAGAACAAAATTACCGAAAAATAGACTGAGTCGCGGACTATGTCGCTTTCTTTAGAACATTCACGGCACTGCCCTGAAATGGTGCAAGCAGTTCGTACTAAACCGGATGTTCCCCAGGATAAAACAGCCTTTCTCTATTGAAATTATACCGGTGGAACTGCACAAAACCACCGGGCAACTAAACACCCAAAAAGAAAAGAAACTGCTCGAGGGTTTTGTTTTTGTGAGGAAAAATAGAGAGGAGAAGAAGATTGCTGTTCGTATATTTTTGTGTATCAAAAACAGGAAATCAACACGCCTTTTATAGGAAAAATTGCAACGTAACTGCTGCTGTTTAATTAGGCACTAATCACGCAATTAAAACGGTCATAAGTTGAACGTTCAAAACGGTTACAGAAGATTAATGCGTGGCAAAACGTTTAGCAAAAAATCAGTGAAAACGTTTGCATGATTAACGCTCCATTAATCAGTTTTGAATAAAAACGGTCAAATGCAATCAGTCAAAAACGTTTAGCAAAAATCAAGGAACTAATCACGCAATTAGCCTTGTCCAAAAAATAAGTTTATTTAATAAACCCGACCCGACCCGACCCGACCCAACCCGGCTCGGTTCGGCGCGCGTGTGTGTGATAGATGGTTTACCATATAGGTCCTCCCTCTCCACAAAATGTGGGTAGCCCAAGGGCCACACCCCTTTAGCCCACTCTCTATATTATAAAGAGAGTAAAACTCTCATTTCCCACCAATGTGGGACTTTGAGTTTTTCACAAAATTCACACACTACACACTTGTTGTTCACAAAATTCACACACTACACACTTGTTGTTCCAACAATTTGTATATCGATCAATCGTATGCCAAAAATTAATGCATCCATCTTAATTTCTCGTGATGCTTAGTAGAGTGATTTGCAAGGGATATTGCATTTTGAAGAAACCTTGCAAATTTGTAGGAGGAAAAAAAAATATAATATATATTCCAATGTATCATTTTTATATGTATTGGTTATTAAATTAATATTATTAGACGACCAATTTTAAATTTCTTTGACTCTTTGCGATCTTTGCACGTCTATTTAATATTATGGATCTATCTTAATTGTAAGCTTATATTAGTACATATTAATTAATTAGTATGAACTCATAACAATGGCATACATGATCCTTAAACTACGTATATGGGAGTATATATGCTTTAACGCACCGGCCAGTAATATAATTGCCTGTTTTTTTTCGTTGCTTAAATAATTAGAGAGATTGAGGAAGGTGGAGGTGGCGGTGGAGTTGCATGCAAAAGCTACAAAAGTTTTGTTTGTTGTACTTTAAACTAGTGAATTGCCATATTTTAGTGGTATATTAAGTATGGGAAAAAAAAATGCATGTTACCTACATGTTTAATATGAAACAGGTAGATCCATCATGTCAAATTATATATGATATAAATAAGAATGTGTTGGAGAATAGTATAATCAGATTAATCATACATACAGGTCTCAACAATATAGTCGTTTTATTATAGCAGGTTAAAGTTAATTAAGATTATTTTTCGAAGTAATCCACGCACTAATCTTATCAATTTTTAGTAGTGGTGCGTCAAATATGGTGTCATAAAGTGTGATCGATCTTATCATTGATATTAATTATAAGGTACACAATTGATACCACAATTAGAGTCCAACATTATAAGGTACAAAGTACAAGCAAGTGACAAATAGAGCATAAAGGGTTGCAATGAGCACATTAGGGAAATCTTAGCACATGAATGCAATTTCTTGTATAAAGCTTCAATTATTAGCTTTTGACAACCCTTTCCGTTCTTCACAAGGGATAATAAATAATAAATGAGTCACCTTGAATATAATTAGAAGCTAGATGATGTGAAATTTGATAAATATATTTTGTATCAAGAAAAAAGATAATAATAAGGTATTATGTTAATTAGATCACGGTTGCGCGCGTGAGTTAATCATTAACTTAAAGTCAAACTTACCCATCATACGCATGCATAGTGTACAAGACTTTTCTATGTATAGAGGTATTCATGCTCAATCTTCCATGCGAAAAAAAGGAAGTTTTGGTTTCAAGCAACAATATCATATCACACCAACATCAAAAGGCTATCTAAGCTAGATGCTAGATAGTAGATCGAGCAAGAATAGTCGGCATTGTTCCATTAAAATTTAGGTCACACCTAATTATTATTCTTAATTAGTGGTATACACAATAGCGATAATCATAGCTCCGACCTCATATGAAAAAAAATCTTTAATCTATATCATATGATAAGATATAGGCCATATAACAATATCATTGAATTTAAGTGCTAGTTGGTAATGTGAGAACCATAAACCATCATTTGTCACCTAAATCTGGCTATATGTTTATGGATCATTATGATAAAATTAGTCATGTGCCAAACTTTATTTTAACTTGACCCTTTTATAATTATAATAATATTATTATATGGGTCCGATGCCACTTGATTTATTAAGGCTAAGGAAGCTTATTTAATTAGTGGCCTAGATTAGGATACTCACTTTGTTTTCAAATAAATAAGCGTGTCACATGTTTATGCACTAAGCTTTAGACCAACAAATAAAAGTAAGTATTCTATTATGTAAGCGAGTCAAATTGAATTACTGAATATATATAATACTTCGCACGTCAATAAAAGATAAGTGAGATCATGTTTATTCACATCTAATGATGCATTATTTATGAAATGATGCACTTATTCTAAAACGACTTAATAAAACAAGTGATGATCTACTTATTCAAGAATAGAGGGAGTATTATACAATTGTTTTAGGCTTTCAAATCTTACTCGTTTCCCTCTACTCCTAAATCAATTGCATAATACTCCCTCTATTGGACTATTAGTCTATTAGTACTAAGGAAGTGTTCCACCACTTCAGCCACATACATGATGATGAATTATAAATTAATAGGGCCTATAATCCTGAGGCCGCCCCAATTACTCAACATTAGAAACAAAATTTGTTTCTCAAGAGGTTAATTTTGTAAAATTATAGGTAAAAAAATGTGTTTTTATTTACATCTTTGCCATTTGAGAAACATAGTTTATTTCTCATGTTGAGAAACTTGGAATATCTATATAATCCTTAGACACTTCATTGTGGTGCTTTGGTGTCACATTCAAAGGGACGGAAAAATTATCAAAGGAAGCTTCATTAGGAAACTATACTCCATGTTAGACGCGTGACAAAACTATTTACCAAATTGAGCTTGAGGGTAAAACGCCATCCAGGATAGTGTTTTACCCTTTGGCAATTTTTTTTTTATAAACATTTCAGTTAGGGGTAAAGCGCTAACCTGGATGGCATTTTACCTCTAACTGAAGAACAATGAAATAAACTGAAGTGAAGTAGCAGTTTTCACCCGATGCAAAAACTCCAGCATGGTTGGCGTTTTACCCCTATGCAAAAACTCCAGCGTGTTTGGAGTTTTATGAAGAAGACAAAAACACCCTCCACGTTGGCGTTTTACCCTTTGAAAACTTTTTTTTTACATTTGAGTTAGGGGTAAAACGCCATCCAGGGTAGCGTTTTACCCCTAACTGAAATGTTTTAAAAAAAATTTTGCCAGGGGTAAAACGCTACCCTGGATGGCGTTTTACCCTCAGGCTTACTTTGGTAGATAGTTTTGCCACGCGTCTAATATGAAACATTGTTTGATAATTAAGCTTAGATTGGTAATTTTTTCCATTCAAAGTTTCTGGAGCTTCTCAATCAAGATTTTTGGTTTTGGTTTTAATTTTACTTGTGGGTTAGGAGCCTCAAATTCATCACACCATGATGAAAATCGACTTGACCTACTTATATATATATATCTATATATAAAATACTTGTAATATGTATAGTTTAAATCATACATTAAAAATTTTCAACAAAAGAAATAAAAAAAGGTTGAGATCTTTATTAAACATCAAAACACATATGATAATCCTACGACTAATATATTGAATTACAATATAATAAGACCTCAATAACTCTTGCTTTTTAATCCTTATTTTAAGGATGCATGGGCATGACATGTATCGACATGTACATATCACGATATCAACATATCACACGCATCCACATTTGGACTACAACAATTGTTATGCACATATATAGGAAATTGTAGTTTATCATTTATCAACATATCAAATTACATAGTCTAAGCTGTACTATCTAGTCTCTATAACACCAACTAAGATTCTGAGAGTCTATAAAAAAAAAAAAAAAAAAAAAAAAAAAAAAAAAATTACAAAATACACTCCATGTCTCCTAAGAATTTGACTTGTTTGTGCTGACTTATTCGAACTTTGACATAGTTTGACTTAAATTCATAAAAGCCTGAATTATCTTTTTCTAAAAAATAAAAAAATCTTAGAAATCGTGTTGCCCTGATTGAAAGTCGTAAGCTAATCCAATACTGCAATCTCTAACCAACAATCTGCAAACAATAACGACGTCGTTTCAATCGCAACATCAATATCACTAATTCAATCCCTAATAAAAATTGAAAAACTCAACTTACTTTAACATTCCACGTTCGTGAAGAAGAAGGAAGACAAACCTCTGAATTTCGAAACCTCCAAATTCAATCAACAATGGCGAAACGTTTCTTTCTCCTCCCACTATCTCTCTTCCTCCTTCTCCTTTCTCTCTCCTCCGCAAACCCTAACCCTAACCTTAACCCTAAACCTAATTCTCTGTTAGCAGCACACACAGAACTCACAGGCTACGGTTTTCCCGTCGGACTTCTCCCCTCGAACGTCGCCGACTACTCAATCAACCGAACTTCCGGCGACTTTTCCGTCAAACTCAGTGATCAATGCAAGCTTACTCTTCCGCCGGACAACTACCTCGCGTCGTATTCGAAGATCGTCAGGGGTAAAATCGTCAAGAATAAGATTGCTCAGCTTGATGGAATTAGGGTTAGGGCTATGTTTCAGTGGTGGTCGATTACTGGGATTCGATCTAGTGGTGATGATTTGGTTTTCGAGGTTGGGTTGTTGAGTGCTAAGTATCCCGCCAAAAACTTCAAGGAGAGTCCTCCTTGTGAGGGTCTTAAGGCCGATTCTTGAGTTCCGATTTCGAGGTTTGAATTTGATTTATTTGAGCTTAATTGGTAGTTTTATTTTGGGAATTTTAATTGTGTAGTTGTTTGATTGAATTTTGATGTTATGATTGTTATCTAGGATTTATGTTAATTGATTGTTTTTGCTGTCTGATTTGGTTGGGCTGTGGTTTTGTGTGTGCTAATTTTTGTTTTTGATGTTGCTTTACGCTTTAGTTTTGTTTTGATTATTGAATTTCTGGTAATTAAAGTGATTGTGACTTTGTGAGGTTTTAGTGGTTATGACTGACTGTTGTTGGAGGGATGATTAGTTTATCTCGGAGATATGGGCGTTGTCGCTTTACTTTTTAGGTATATGCTGATGTTGTAAGTAGGTAAAGAAACTTTTATAGTGATGAAGGGATGAAGATATCAAGTGAAAGATGAAAAGGTTGATCTTTTTGGAGATTGGGAATTCCATGTGGTCGTGAGGGACATGAAATTTTCTAAACGAAAACTTGGAGGATACTATGCCCATTGCAGGCAGTTCTTGGAATCTTAATTACGATTGTGATGCATTTTAGATGCTGAGGGGTGGTTGGTGCGCCGTCGCCACCTTGTCTTGATTAATAGCAGGTCTGAGGAAAGAAGACTTTACAAGCTGTTATCACCAGCTATATGAATTGACGTTTTAGAATATTTGTTATATAATGCTATGGTGCATCTTCTAATTGGTGGAATATTGAGAATTTTTTTGTGGGATCCAGAGAGAATCTGGGAGACTTATCGGAATGGAAGTATGCAAAATCTTTGGAGAACAGAGTTGAGGGTTGAAATTCAGCACTTTTTATGAGGGATGCCCTGGTGAGCACTTGAATGCATGTGAGTTAAGATGGTCTATATTTCCTGTCCTGCTGTCCCCTTGCTCGAGTTTTGCTGATTGTTCAAATACTCTTAATCTCCTATAGTTCTATGTAGTCATGAGATGCCTAATTAGTTAGGTTAATGGATCAATTAGCAATTTATTGAAAGTGAGCGATGAAGCAAATAGAAACTGAAGAATATGGGACAAAACATTCCTGATTTTTGGGCAAAGTTCAAAAGGCTTTTGAGAACCAATCCTGTGTTATACATATCCAAATGGGGAGAGTACTTTTATTGGTTCCCTCGAAGTTAATTCCAGCTGAGATTTTACAGTTTAAGTAACTGAACAGATTTGCAATTGCTATTATATCATAATGATAAGAGAGTAATGTTGGGCTTGTTAGCTTAGTATGAGTGAACTCTATTGATTTAATAAATAGTATAGCTGAAGTTCCTGATCATTATAGAGAATTGATGGTGAGGCTAGTATTGCAACAGAGATATGGTTGTCTCCATATACAACAAAAAGGAAAGCTATAGTGGGAAAATAGGGAAGAGGAATTCTTAGAAATCATGGGAGAGAGTCTTTTTGAAGGTAAGAGCATTAATGGAGGAATAAGAAAGAAAAGAGAGATAAAGAAGGGAAGTGCTGCAAGTGCATGATGTGGTTTTGGAAGAGAGTATATTATCTACACTTAATTCAGAAATTATACCTAATTATTTTGTATTTTATATTCTATAGATTGGGCCTTGGGGATAAGATTGATAAAATGGCTTCAAACTTTGTGAAGTTATTGGAAGAGCAAGTAGGACTATTAGCACTTTGCCCTAACTAATAGAGAGAGAGAGTGCCAAAATTGATTACAAAATTTGATGACACATCTGAACTATAAGACACTTTCTGAAATGTATTTTTGGAATGGTTTTTGAGTGAACTGTACTGGAGTGGAGAGGGATTAAACCATTGTCACAACACCATATTACTACTATACATTGGGTGGAAATGCATCTTTAATCCCCACAGATCTTGTGCTTTTGACTTATGAGATAATTTGCAAGCTATCAAATGACCTATTTTAATTTTGAAATTTTCAATTTTTATGGTAAGTTTTCCATATATTCAACATATATTACTGCTCAAATTGCTAGAGTAGCCAAACAAGGGTTTTTATCTTTTGGTGACTAATTCTGGTTTCTGATAATTTTGTTCCATGCATTGTGTAGTTTACATGTTAAGTTTTTGGTGGGTTACATGTTAGACCAAACTAGCAGATATGATATTATCTTGTCCAAATGTGGCATTTTTCAATAGTTTACTTGAATTCAACTTGGTAATGAGGTTTTGCTAGTACTGCCCTGTATGCCAATTAATAAAAGATTTACCAGAAAATGCTTAGATGTGCAAGCTTGATGATTTTGAAATTTGAATGAGGGTAGTAAGCATAATCAAAAGGAATTGTTCTCTTGAAGGGCAGGGTATAAATGAGTATGAAGTATTAAGAGATCGATTAGAACTTTGTTTCAAAAAAAATTAATTTTGGATCATATTCCCCCTGTTCCTAAATAATTGCAATAGTTTGGCTTTGACACTATTCATATACTAACTTTGACTACATTGTGTAGTTTATATAAAAATCAAAAGTAGTTATTTTTATTTATTTATTTATTTATTTTTTTTTTAATGCACACATCCTATATTTGAAATAATCTACAGTAACACAATATAGTAACAAATCTAAACCAGTTACCTAAAGCTCCATGCGGGTCAAAAAGTTGCATTAAAAAAAAAAGGGAGGGAGTATGTAATTGCATGTATTAAAGGTCAAACTTATGCATTGGCTTGTTAGTATTCAGGGATAGATGGGTAGTATAAACTATAACTCTGTTCTTGAATGCAGGGTTGCACTTATCTTCATTTCAGTTTCACAAGTGTACATGCTTGCTCTCAAGTACCATGCCCTGGGAGCATCTACCTCTATTTTATTGCTTTCCTTATGTTATGTGTATAAATGCTGTAATCGTGTTATAATATAGACCTTCAGTTGCTTTCCTTATGTTATGTGTATAAATGCTGTAATCGTGTTATAATATAGACTTTCAGTGGAATAAAATGCTACTGGTAGTATCTAAGCTTTGTCTGTAATTTCATTAACTTTTAATGTTCTATATATATACTGCAAACTGCTGCTGTTATTTTTACCATGAAGCTGTTGGCATCACACTTGAAACTAGCACTGATTCAGGGTGTGTTTGGCCAAGCTTTTGGAAAACTATTTCTGTTTCTTAGAAGTAGTTTTCCAGAAACTATTTCTAGAGAAACACTTGCAAGAAACAGAATTGTTTGGCCTAATAAATTTAGAAGTGATTCTTAGAAATAGAAACTATTTTACCCTATTTGGCCTGTAGTGGTTTTTTTTTATATTTTTGAAACAAAGCAAGCTAGTGGTTTATTTTTTATTTGAGGGTTATAAAATTAGTTTCTTATACATTATTGTTTATAATATAAAAATTCAATTTAAAATTTTGAACAATTCTAAATACTTATATATACAAACTTAAGTACTTCCATTAATAAAAACTTGTATAATTATTACAGATTCATAAATTTTGTTTACAAAAATCAAAAGTACAGCAACAATCATTTCACCAGCTCAATATAACAGAATAAGAACAGAATAGCAGCGGTGTCAAGCACGCAGTGGTAGCTACATCAACAGCGGCAGCACGAACAGAAGTAGCATGAACAGCAACAACACAAGCAGAATGAACAGCCGAAGCACAACATCTAAAAGGCATCAAGCAGGTAGTGACAACAACATTAACTAGCAGCACGAACAACAGCAGCACACGCAGAATTAGCAGGAACTAAGTAGCTACATATCATGTCCATAAAACAATGGCTCCTTACGAAATATCTGCACAAGAAACACATTTCAATTCAAGAACACCTGATTTGGCTATATTCCACCCTACTATCGTTCTCCCTTTTCAAGGGGCAAGGCAGGAGAGCCTTAGGAAAAAAGCAAGATATCAAATGCAGGCAAAGTAAGAGCATCACAACCAAGACTACATTATAAGATACTTTTGAGATTATTTGGCAGAGCAAGCAACACCATTCTGAAGTTAATATCAAAGTAAAGATTAGGAAGATACATCACACTTGCCTAAACAACATGCTTATTCACCAAGTCGACTTCATGGTAGAAACCATGGCAAAATCATTAGGTTCAGGCTGATTCAGCGTGTGATATCACCCTAAACGAGGGATACTAATATCGACCGTCGTCATCAATTCAGGTCCATCGAAATCAAATGAAGTAACAAGTGCTCTATGACCTTCCAATTTAGTTCTGTGAGAAAAATGACTTACAACAACACAACAAAATTCTCAAATTATAATTTCTACAAAATCAATAATTGTAATACACAAATTTAGCATAAATTCAAGGCTAACAACAATGAGTGCTTATCAGCGCATAGCACCTATGTGCTTAGAGAGTATATAGGAGGGTAGTATTGTAATTTAGCAGGGAAAAAATATTCAAAGGTAAAGGCTGACCTTTGGCATCCTGTTATATTTTGAATTGTAACGGTGGGTCCTTTTGCTGAATATGAAAAGGCTATTTTCAAATACTTAATTTAACACTTCTGTCATTTGGTCAAAATAGCATTCTCTCTCCTCATTTTCTTTTTTTATTTCCTCTGAAGAGACAACGACGGTCGTTCCTGCCGGAGCAACAGCAGAAGCTTGGTGCGGTGGAAATTTGAGCACACACTACAAGAAAACAGCTAGATTCTGACGGAATTTTCCCGTCGGAAGTAGTCTGTCGGAGCACCCCTTGTCGGAAATTCGGCCTTTTCCGGCGAAAATTCCGTCGGAAGAGGTGATTCCAACGGATCTAATTCTGTTGGCGCCGATTTTGACTTAAATTGAAATTCCGTCGCAATTTTCCGACGAAAAATTCCATCGGAGGTGTATTAGCTTTCGACGGAATATTCCGTCGGAAGAGTCAATTAAAAAAAAAAAAAAAAAAACAGCCCCCCCACCCTGCCCAGACCACCCCTCACCCAGCCCAGACTAGCCCCCCACCCTGCCCAGACCACCCCCTTACCCCACACCCACACCCAGCGCCACCCCCTTCCCACCCACACCACCACCAGACCACCCCACCCCTACCCCCTACCCCCCCGACTTCCCACCCACGCCACCACCAGCCCACCCCACCCCCTACCCACCCACGCCACCACCAGCCCACCCCACCCCTTCCCCCCACTGACTACCCCCCTACCCACCCACGCTATACCTACGCCCCCTACCCACCCACAACCCACACTTAATCCACCCACCCAAACCCGAAATCATCCAAAAAAAACCGAAACTACCCAAAAAAACCCACCACCTTCAAAAAAACACCTAGCTATACCACCCAAACTCACGAAACCACCAAAAACACCCACCACCTTCAAAAATCGCCACCCACACATCACACACGCACACACAACAACGTTACACCCAAAAATCTAAAAAAAAAAACAAAGAAAAAAAAACCGAAATCGACAAAAATAATAATAAAACATACCTTATTCGGCCATGAAATCGACGAAAACGGGTTAACAAGGCCAAATTCGGCCATTAAAAGTCTAGATCTAGGCTTTTAATGGTCGAATTTGGCCTAAAAAACCTTAAAAATAAACAAAACACACCCCATGGTGGCTAGTAGAGGCGGTTGCGCAAGTAAGAAGGTTCGGCGATGGTGGTGGTCCGGTTGCACTAGGAGACGAGCGAAAGGAGACATGACAGGGAGAAGATACGAGAAAAGAGGAGAAGGGAGGAGAAGGAAGGAGAAGGAGAAGAGAGAGAAAGAGAGGGCGGAAGAGAGAGAAGGGGGAGAGAAGAGAAGAGGAATTCAGAGGAAGAGGAAAGAGAAGAGAAGAGGAAAGGAGAGAGAAGGAGAAAGGGGAAGTGGCGGTGGAAGGCTTTTATTAGGGTTTAGTTGTTAATTTTTTTTTCAAAATAAGATTCCGACGGAATATTCCGTCGAAAACTTATTGTTCCGACGGAATATTCCGTCGGAAATTTTCGACGGATTTTAATTCTGTCGGAAAGTTAGCGTTTCGACGGAATATTCCGTCGGAATATTAAGTTTCCGACGAAATATTCCGTCGGAAAGCCTATAATTTCAGACGGATTTTTATTCTGTAGGAAATCCGTCGGAAATTTCCGACGGAATATAAATCCGCCGGAATATACAGGATTTCCGACGGAATTTTGTGTCCGTCGGAAAACGTTCGTCAGAATCTGGCCTTTTTCTTGTAGTGACAGTTGAGAAAATTGTAGGTCGCTGCGAGGTTGTGCTTCGTTTGAGTCAAGGTATGGGAGCGAAACACTTGTAGTATTATGTTTAATATGAACTTCTTGTTAGTTAAGAAATTTATATGTACTTGTTGTATTTGCGAATGTTGGATGTTTTTTTGATGTATTTGGTTATGTAATTTAGGGTTATCCGCAGAATTTAGCGAATTAGGGTTTCGTTTTAGTTCATGATATTTAATTATTGTTAGTTAAGAAACTTATGTGTACTTGTTGAATTTGTGAATAGGATGTTTTTTTATGTATTTGGTTATGTAATTTAGGGTTATCCACTGAATTTAGCGAATTAGGGTTTCGTTTGTAGTTCATGATGTTTAATTGGAAAGAGTTTGATTGCTGTCCGTAAAAGCCGTAAATTGGTAAAATGTATGGCGAAGGGTCGAGTTGTTGCATGTCAATTGTGAAAATTTTAAAATGTTTGGTTTGTGTTGGTCGAAGTTTTGTTGTTTCTTATGATTTAAGCTCTAATTTTAATGGTTATAGGGTTTTTAGGTTTGAATATTATTTTTACAGTGTTTTAAGCTATAATTTCAATGAAATTGTTGAATTTTGCTGCTATTTTTGTTGTTTCTTGTTGAATTGCTTCCAAAAATACAGGTTATAGGGGATGTATTGAAAAGGTACTAAGAGAAGTTTCAAGAGGGTGTTACTGTAGGGACATGGCAGTTGAGGGAGTCGATGAATGCATACCTCTGCTTCAAATCCTATGACTGCTCATTTAGTTTCACTTGGAGTCTTGGACTGTAAATTAATATTTCTTAAAACTTTTTCTTTCCTCTGGCTGGCTGCTAATACCTTTCCCTCACCCTGCCTGCTGCGCTGATGAACTTTCCCCCTTTACTGGCTGCTGCTGCCCTTTCCCCCTTTACTGGCTGCTGCTGCCCTTTCCCCTTCCCTGCTTGCTACCTATGGTCTTCCACCTTGCCTAAAAATTAGAACTATAATAAGTGTTGAAATACTCTAAAGTTTGTGTACTTAATTTATAAGGAGTTTGTTGGGATAAGAGTATACCAATAATTTTGCCTAAAAATTACCATATGAAACAGTAATTCACATGCTCATATAACTTCTTCATTATTTATTTTTGTATTTTTTGGCCGATTTGTCCTTGCATGTTATGGACACTAGTTGAAAGTATCATATTTTTAACTGTTTACTCTTGCTTCTTTTTTTATGTTTTTTTTTTATAGTCTTCAAGTGTGGAAGCAAGTAGATTAGTCAATGATTTTGTGCTTGGTCACGAGCTACAGTTGGCCTAACTTGGATTTCATCTGAAAGACTGGTATACTTGTGTGTGTTGTTTTTTTTTTTTTTTTTTTTGAATCTAAATCTGAAGCTTAGTTACATTGAACATGTACACCAGGATTATACTGCAGAATAGGTACAAAAGAAGGCAAATTTGTAGATCAAAATGATTGTCACTACTTATCTTTTGTTATTGCATTGTAGTATTGAATTTTAAATCTTCAAATCGCTTGATATCCTAGAGATTACTTTTAGATTTGAATTTTCCATGACATATTTCATTTGTCCGTCATAGGTATACTCATGTTGTTCCTTGGTAGCCATTCATGAGTTCAATACATGATCAACTAAAAGTGGAAAATTTTTTGAGGCTGGCTTGTGCTCATGTCTATGTTAGCTGTTAGCTGTTAGAATAATCTGAAAACTACATCTATATTTATGTCTTAAAGCTAAATTCACTATTGTCAATGAAATTTTATATCATGTGAGTTTTCTCTAAAGCATCATATTGCAGGTTATGAC